TCGGACAAATCGACTTCGTCTGGTTTCAGAAAACGGCCATTGTCGGGATCTAGATATGTCTTTCCGTGAACCATGCCCTGCGTAATGAGTCGTTTGAATGGCTCATGTGAGGACTCGTGTGGGAGCTCCGCTACACCCTCGGCTATTGCCTTCGAGGCCTTGGGGTATAGATTCCCCATTATTGCCTTGTAGAAGAATCTCGCGTACAGGAGATGAAGAATAGCGTGTTCAACACCCCCGATATAGACGTCCACGGGCAAGCATGTACGGGCGGCTATTTCAGAAATAGGGCTGTCCTTATTGTGCGGGTCCGCGAATCTCATGTAATACCAGCTGGAATCTACGAAGGTGTCCATGGTATCCGTATCTCGCTTGGCCGGGCCGTCACATGTTGGACAAGACGTATTGATCCACTCCGTCGCAGATTCGAGAGGATTCCCAGCTCGACCGCCAGCCCAGTGGTGATCCACCTTGGGTAGTTCGACAGGAAGCTGATGATCAGGAACCGGCTGCGGGCCACAGCGTTCACAGTGTATGATTGGAATGGGTGTGCCCCAGTATCTCTGCCTGCTGATGAGCCAGTCACGGAGCTTCCACTTCGTACGGAGCTCAGCAAGGCCTGTTTCGCTGTGGATTTGCTGAACAATGGGTTCCGCCATGTCATCGGATGGGCTCTGGCGGTATTGACCCGCAAGCTCCGTCATGTAGCCCGATTCGAGATACGGACCATCCATATTCGCAGAAGACCCAGTATGATCCGGTGTGATGGCATAGTTGACTTCCTTAGACGGAGAGTTGTGTTGCCAGAATTCGAAGTCCCGCGCATCGTGTGCGGGGACACCCATGACAGCGCCTGTCTCGTAATCTCCGCGCACGTAAGGCGCAATATATACGGGCAAGGGCGTTGCTTGGCTAGGAAACTGAGCGCCCATTCGGCTTATGGGGTTATGCGCCCGAACATAGGGTATCCGGTACCCTTGCATGTTGTTGCCCCCGGCGCTCTCCCCCAAGGCCTCGAGATATGCACGCAGTTCCGGATCGGAGCTCGCGAGGCTCTTCGCTAGTTTGCTATCTGGCGAGATGGCAACAAACTGGACGGCAAAAATGGTCTCTGGTCGGGTAGTATAGATCTCGAGCTCATTTACTCCCGCCAAGCGGGATTGGCTATGGGCAGTGAGGGGAAAGCGATAGCGGGCGCCTGTGGTGCGCCCGAGCCAGTTCTTCTGCATAGCCAGCACCCGCTCCGGCCAGCAATTATCCCGGGCGAGCTCGTCGAGATCGCGCAGTAGGGCCTCTTTGAACTCGGTGATACGAAAGAACCACTGCTCCAGCGGACGCTGTTCGACCTTGGCGCCTGATCGCCAGGACCGGCCTTCCGAGTCGACCTGCTCGTTCGCCAGGACGGTCTTGTCGACGGGATCCCAGTTGACGACGGCGCGCTGGCGGGTAACGAGACCAAATTGGTGGAGGAGCAGGAAGAGCTTCTGGGTGTGCTTGTAGAAATTGGGATCGCAAGTGGCGAGCTCCTGCGAAGGCAATGTCAATGGGTGACGACGGCGACGTGCGGGGCGGCTCTCGCAGGACGACGCACCCTGGACCAGTCGAAGGAGGCGTTCATCAGCGCCAGCTGCTCCTTCATGCGGGCGACGTTGTCACGCGTCCATTCGGCGGGGTCGACGCCTCGCTCGATGGCGGCGTTCTCGGCCGGTAGGCCAAAGGCATCCCAGCCCATGGGCAGCAGGACACGGCGCCCTCTGAGGCTGTGGTAGCGTGCGACGACGTCGGCGATGGTGTAGACGCGGAGGTGTCCCAGGTGAAGCTTGCCCGAGGGATACGGAAACATGGACAGGATATACATGGGTTCACCGCTGGATGGCGTCACGGCGCGAGCTTGGGCGTCGCTCCATCTCTGGCGCCATGTTCGATCCAGGGCCGGGAGGTCGAGTGGTGCCGCCGTAGCGTAGCATCTGGAGAGGGCGACGGGCGGCCGTCTCGAGATCGGCGTCCGTCGTAGTAGTAGGCGTGTTGGTGGTGGCCGTGACGGCGTCGGCGTGGAAAGCTTCAGGCGGCCGGGGCCTGCAAGCTTTCTTATAGAACGATACATCGGGTGTGTCGCATGGTCGCGGCGCTTTTTGGGGTTTGGACTGGACTTGGATCAATGGCTGGAGCTTACATGATTCTAGAAATTCTGGACAAAAATAAACGTCGAAAGAGAAGCCCGTCTAAAGAGAGATGGTCGTCTGCAGCATCTCCAACTCGGACTTTTTTGATTGGTAGCACGATACCAAATGTAGCAAAGTGGATTCGATGGGCTAAGTACCGACGTGATTGATACTGTTGATGCTTCGTACCTGGTACTTCTAAAAAATTGCTACGGGCTCAAATGCTACGAAACTTAATATACCTACCTCCTTAGATTGGTATCTCTTGGGACGTCTGTACAAGAGTAATGGTGCACTGTTTACTTTCTCATAGGTAAGTGGTAAGTAAACAAATACCTACCTACTTCGTACCCAACCAACATATATGTGCACTCATCGTTGCCGACGATGCCCACGATAATTCTACGGGGCTGACAAGTCCACCAAGATCTTGACGTGTTTATCTTTCTCGTTCACGAGAGCGTCGAATCCGTCCTCGACCACGCGACCAATAGAGATCTTGCTGGTGATCATGGATTCTGGTTTCAGGCGTCCTTCGCAGACGGCATCGATGACGTCTCTAAAATCAGCTTCTACGTAGGTCAGGCCTAGATTTTAATCCGAGCAGTGAGTAAGTCCATATTGCATCGATTCGGATGGAGGGAATACGTACTTCCAATGAGCCTCCTCTCATAGAGGACAATATTGTTCGGATGAAAGGGGACAGGCCCTTCCCACTATGACGACCCCAGTCAACAGTCATCCCTGGAAGAGAAACCACACGCCTATTGAGGAAATCATCAAGTCAGGGAATCAGGGGCCCGGGACTGGACTGGCTGGAGCAAGTGACATCTCCTCTGGTGGTATCTAGCGGAAGCGACTAAGCGAGAAACGACCTCGACTTACAATCGCGACATTCACAACGGTCCCGCGGGCACAAACAGCACGAGTTGCGGAATCCAAGCTGGCTGGTACACCGGCACAATCGAACGCCACGGCAGGGCCTCGACCGCCCGTCCGTTTCTGGGCTTCCTTGACCACATCGACTTGGCTCGGGTCAAGTACATGTGTTGCGCCAAACTGCTCAGCAAACGCCTGGCGCCTGGCGGCTACTTCGACGGCGATGATCTCGCCAGCGCCCATCGCCTTGAGACATTGGATTATGGCCAGGCCGATGGGCCCAGCGCCGAAGACCGCAGAAGTCTGGCCGGCCGTGATGCCGGATTCGCGGACGGCATGCCAGGCGACCGCCAAAGGCTCGATCAGAGCTGCGAGCATATTAGCACGCCGCGACCCGATTAGAAGGATTAACAAGACGGCTGACCGCCGACTTCCAGCGAGATGGTATCCGCAAGCTTGACGACTGCTTCGGGCGGCAGACACATGTAATCGCTGAGCCCTCCGCTGCCCGACAGCCCCATGAACCCCTTCTTCTCGCAACAGTTTGGGAGGCCGCTTCGGCACGGCCCGCAGGCTCGACAATACAACAGCGGAAACACGGCGACTCGGTCCCCGACTTCCAGGCCCGCAGAGTCGACAACATCCGCACCGATCTCCACGACGGTACCTGACAATTCATGACCGAGGGTGACCGGCGCCGTCTCGTTGGATAGCTCGTGAGGCGCGCCGGGCTTGGGCACGAAGGTCTGCGTTCGGTATTCGTGGAGGTCCGTGCCGCAGATGCCGACGAACGCGGGCCGGATCTTGACCTGCGTCGGGCCGCACTTGGACTCGGGCACGTCATCCAGGCGCACATCCTGGGGGCCGTAATACCGAAGAGCACGCATTTTCTGTAAGCGGTGTCAAGGGAAAGGGGCAAATCGAAACAGAACGGGACGGGCTGTATTCGATGGCGTAATCCCACGGGTCGAAATCACAGAGAGCCCATGATGTTATCTCGAACCGCGGAACGATTTCCCCAACTTTGGCGACGCTGCCCCCTCCGGGCTCCGACACGCCTCCAACTGATGTCGCGGTAATTATTGGTCGATACCCCTCATGCTGCGTAAACCTGCTTTGCTGGGAGATTTCCTCCTCATCCGGCCTCGATTGAGCATAGCCAGTTGGGGTTACGTAATATCATGGTCCAGCATATTGTACTCGAGAGATTGTGCAAATAGAGAAAGAAAAAGAGCAATCTTCAACGACGAACGAAGACGACATACATAGGCAAGGCATAGTTGAGTAGGCGAGATGCGCGATGTAACAACACTCTCCCGACTAGCTCAGGTAGCTACATAGGATAGGTAAGTATCCAATATGTATTTGATTCGACCTTTCAAGTATGTCATATTGTCATATCTAAGCAGTGGGATTGACAGACTGCTATAACCATTTTTCATAACATGGCAGTGTGAAGTATTCCAAGGTTAACGAAATGAGCCTTCTGACCTTTACGTTCACTCGTTGTTGACTCTTGTTACTTCTTCTGTCTTTCAAGGGAGTTTGCCGAGTTGTTTTCTCCGTAGATGGACACCCCAAACCTGTCCTGTTCGGTGAGGCTACTTCTGAGAGCATGGTCTGCTTATATTCAAGTCGACATGTTGACATGCCATGCTACGTATCATGCTCTCGACGGCATGCTAAGATATATCTCTTCAATACCACATAGCTCAAGGGGAGTCTCTTCCCCGGCATTCAACATACTACCTAACCCATCCATCAGTGCCACGACCCAAGGTACAAACACTCTCACGCCTTCGTTGATCTCGAGCCACCGCTGTAGCACCACACACGTCACGAACGCCACGAAAGATCCGTAACACGACATCTACGTACCGGTCACACACGAGGTCCCCCTCTGCGGCGTCCTCTTAAGGCACAATAGCACGACGTCTACCATAGTCCACGAGACAAAAAGGGCTGGTAGCTCAGGGGTAGAGCGCTCGCTTTGCATACGCGCTTCGTACCGCCTCATACCCGAGAGTTTACTTGGAGAGCGCGGCCGTACATAAATACGAATGTCTCTGCGAGTTTGCGAGAGGTCTGGGGTTCAAATCCCTACCGGTCCAACAAATACTTTTTTATATTCTCTATCAATATTATTTTTTTCATCTTCCTTTTGCTTTCTGCTATTATAGGTACTAATTATTGTGTATCCCAACACCAGAATCTGTCCCATTACACACTCGATTATTAGTTAAAGGCGACATGTAATCTTTGTGCTATCCTTCACTAAGAAAGAAAAGCTCACGACGTTACGATCTATTTATGCGATGTTGCTGTTTGGAAACGCCATTGTTCAATGAGATCAGATCCATATACGGCATCTGCCATGATCCCAACACATGTACCAGACCCCTTTATGGAAGAAGACTTCTATCTATCAGATTGCCTTTCCATTGATCGAATTATGGCTTTGTTATTGAAGTACTTGGTTATAACTGGCCTTTGGCTGGGTGAATTAAGACAAGCAAGCCGCTTGTGCTGTTTCGGGTTAGCAGATTTTGAAATCTTAGTTCGCGGACCTGTCACGGGTGCCCAGCACTGGCCTTCAGCCGTAATTATGTGCTAACTGCTTTTGGTAGGTAAGAGAACCTCCAGGGGATCTTGTAGGGACTTGTACCTACCTACCTACCTATGTAGGCCAGTACCTAATCTGGTGGTGCTGCATGTTGACTTGACTTGACCAGACTTGAACCACTCACTATTTTCTCAACCACTTCAACCTTGGGTTAGAACAGTAATACGATACCAACCTCATATTACTGTAGCTCTTCGCCGTCTCGAATTCTGCATTCTTTCTCTTATTCGTCCGGAAACATAGTCCGTCTATGTCTTGATCGAAACCCACACCGTCATCTTCCGTCCTCCGTCTCCCACCTCCGTCCCCTTTGCCGAGGCGCTGAGGGATTCCAGAGGGATCCCGACCCTTGGACCTGCACAACGGCTCGGCCACTCGTCGACCTTGGCGAATGCCGTCATAGAGATAGAAAGATAGAGAGGCAGACAGACTCGGAAGAAGTTCCAGTTCCGACTCGTTCCTCGCCGACCATGCTTCGCGTGGAATCGCCACAGATACAGCCAGAGATATAGAGTCGACCGCATATCGAATCTACACCGCAGCCAATCTACCGCAGAAGAGTCGGGGGCAGCTGCTGCGATGCCCAACGAACGAGATTCCCTCGAGCTTGCCTCCCTGGCCTCGTCGAGCCCCGGCCCCGACACGTACTCGGAAACCGATTCGAGACCCTCGATATCGTCTTCCCGCAAGTTCTCCCTCGAGCAGGACGACCCTTTGAACGACGGTAACCCCGCTGGGTCTTTCGCCCTGGGCCGTGCGCGCGACCGATCGTACTCGACCACCTCCAACTTCGACTACGCCGCGAACCTCTTCCCGCTCTCCTCCTCTACGGCGCCTGGCTACGCCCCCTTGGGAGCCCCTACCTCGGCTGCGCAACACCATGGCGGACTAGGCGGCGCCTCGCTGGAGAAGCACAAGACGTTGACGTATCTGAACGGGCTGGGCCTGATAGTTGGCTTGATCATTGGGTCAGGGATATTCTCCTCGCCGAGCCAGGTGAATGTGAACGTTGGGTCACCTGGAGCATCTCTGGTTGTGTGGGCGATAGCCGGCGTGCTGGCATGGACAGGCGCCGCCAGCTATGCCGAGTTAGGCGGTGCGATCCCGCTGAATGGAGGATCGCAAGCCTATTTATCCAAAATTATGGGCGAGCTAGCCGGGTTTCTGTTTACCTGGGTTGCCGTTCTCGTTCTGAAGCCTGGGAGTGCCGCCATCATCGCCATCATCATGGGGGAATATCTCGTGCGCGCCTTCATTGGAGCCGAGGCCGAACATATTAACCCCTGGATCAGCAAAGGAGTCGGCTTTGCAGGCCTCCTTATCATCACCTTCCTAAACTGCGTCTCAACCCGCCTGGGTACGCGGATCAACGATGCGCTCATGTTCCTCAAGTTCATTTCTCTGGTTGGCGTGACCGTGGTTGGAATCGTTGTGGCCATTACTGGGTTCTCCTTTTCAGGACAGGCAAACATGGAGTGGAAGAGCCACCATTGGTTCGAGGGCACGACTACAGACGGGAGCCACTGGGCCGTTGCCTTGTATGCTGGACTGTGGGCCTACGATGGTTGGGACAACGTACGTTTCGTGCCGGGATACCACTATCTACTTGGTGATGCTGATCTGAATCTAGACAAACTACGTGGTTGGCGAATTTCGTAACCCATCGCGAGATCTCCCGCGGGTCATACACACGGCCATGCCTCTGGTTATCATAGGTTACATGCTCGCCAACTTTTCGTATTTCCTTGTTCTGCCGAAGGACGTCCTCAACAGCACCAATACTGTCGCCGTCGCATTTGGCAGCAAGGTTTTCGGCCCTGCGGGGGCGCTCATATTCGCGCTTATCGTCAGCGCCTCATGCTTCGGATCTCTTAACTCGACAACATTTACAAGCAGTCGATTGGTATACGCTGCCGCTAAGGAAGGGTTTATACCCTCGTTTATCGGCCGTATTGGCATTGGTTCCGCAGAACCCAGACCCCCGACACGGAGGGGCGGCTGGCTTTCGAGGCGATTCCGGAGTATGTTTGGTGACGAGGAGACGGGTCTATTCTTCACGCCTGTGAATGCCCTCGTCCTGAACACACTACTTACTACAGCCTACATGATCGTTGGCGAATTCAGCGAGCTCCTGACATTCTACGGCGTGGCGGGATATTCCTTCTACTTTCTTACCGTCCTCGGCCTGATCATCCTGCGCGTGAAGGAGCCGCATTTGGAAAGGCCTTACAAAACCTGGATAACCACACCGATCATCTTCTGCTGCGTGAGCCTGTTCCTGCTCAGCAGGGCCGTCTTCGCGCAGCCGCTGAAGACGGTCATCGTCGTCGCGTTCGTCCTCACCGGCATACCCATCTTCTTCTGGCGGATACAGGGGCGCGACCAGGTGACCAAGCGCGAGAGCGGGAGGAGAGAGGCGCCGGCCTGGCAATTCTGGAAGCGCTGGGGTCGAAGTCCGAGGTGAAAAACGAGATTTTTACGACAACTTGCGTGCGAAACTTGGCTATTAAACAATGTATTGCATCCTTTGGCGGGCGTTCGTTGTTTTCTTTATTTTTCTCTTTTTTTGGCCTATTAGGTGGGAAGCATCGATGCATCAAATCAAATCAAATATCATAACCGCTAGGATAGAGAAGTGAACACGGTTTAGGCGAAGAATCGTGAAGCATGCAATGTCCAATGATAGTTACTTAAATAGGCTGGATAACCTCCGCACCTGTACCTGAAATAGCTGCATCGTGTCCTCGTGCGCGCGCGGTGGCCTGCTGGGCTGATAGGCGAATAATATACGACGGCTATAGCGCGTGTATTGATCTCTAGCGATTGGGATTTTAAGATCTGTTACTCGTCTGAACTCCATTGGTACATGAAATGTTAGAAGCTTAGGGGTTCTCTTCGTGTAAAGACGTGAGGTTTGCCCCTTTTTCCTAGCGAAAAAGAGATAAGAAAAAGGGGGGAAGTAGGGGGAGGGACGGAGACGATATCTAGTCAAATGTTGTTTAATATGCATAGAGCTGTCATTATCTCTTTCTCGGAGAATGTAAATAATACCGAACGATATTTCTGCCTGTCTAGGATATGGGTTAACCGGGATAAGGTTGAACTAAAAGACAATGCGGTTTCTGCGAAACTATCACGCATTCAGGGGCTTGCTTACAACTTCACACCGAGGCTTGTCATTGGTAGCGCATGTCACCTTGATAGGCTTGAACTTCGGCTAGAGGCGGGGAACATTTCTCACGTAACAGACAACATTAGGGGTCTTCTCAACGCCTCCAAAGCCCGTAGCATTTTCAACATGTAGGCATTCCCTGGTCTCGGAATGTCTAGCAGACATTCGCATTCTTTGGGTGTCTCCCTGGCTTCGGCCGTACGAAGCGGCACCCACAGTGAGGGCCTTTCTGTATTAATGCGATACCTTTGCCGTGTTACAGCTAGTTACTGAAAAACATGTTCACGACATCACTACGATGCGCAACCTGACCAGCGGAACAATAACCTACCCGCATCAGACCCAAGTGGTGTAGTACGTTGCGTCGGCTCGTCTATTATAAAGTAGTTCAAGGAGCACTTCAAGAGTCATGGTTGCCTGCATCGAAATAGTTTCTACACTCATAGAGAGCCTTTTACATCATAGAGTCTCGTGCACGGCTCTGTAGCTTGCAATTCATATTAGCTTCACTATCGACCAATCCACTTCTCTGTAACCAAGACCTATAAAGTGACCTGAAATAGGAAACCTAAGCTCTGAAGCAGTAACGTGCCATATCCCACTGCTGGTAACAGTCAGCTGACCAGCTGCATCGTGATCAAGGTCCATGTGTACTTCGCTCTCTGCCTTGAGCAATCTAATCAATGAAACGAGTGTACTGAACATGACTTTCAAGGGTGCTGCTGGTAGGTTGCTTGAATGAGGGGCTTCTTTGCTGGTTGACTGAATAGTGGTGGCACAGGCAGCTTCGGATCGACTTTTTTGGTAAAGGGTGACAGGTTATCTTGTGCGGCAGATAGTATCGTTTGTAGCCTTTGATGTGTGTCGCCCGCCCCTAGGCGCTCTTCTGGCTTAATTCTGAGCAGATTTGATGTCACGAGCGTGACGATGTCCCCCATCGCTGTACCTTTAAACCATATATGGTCCTTCATCTCCTCGACTGCGTCGATTACTATGGGATGCACCTCCATTGCATCCTCAATGGCATGGTTCGCTGCGTCAACCCCAGCGATAGGTCGGTAATATTCCTGATACGGGGGCTCACGCTTGGTCATGCAGTTTGAAATAGCCGTAGAGTCGTACAGAAGCCACATGACAAACTCCAGCATAATGCAGCCCACTATAAGACACAGGGTCAGTAGCCGTCAGGACTGCGATGGTGATAAGAGTGCGAGAAACCCTTGATGCTGTGTTCAAATCAAGTAACCTTGCTCTCGTCCATGCAAGCATAGACGGGGGACAATGCTGAGAATTACTTACTAGACCAGCAGTCGTAC